TCACCAGGCTGGAGTGTAGTGGCACAATCTCGGCTCACTGCAACTTCCATGTCCTGGGTTCAAGCGATTCTCCTGCCTCAGTCTCCTGAGTAGCTAGGATTACAACCATATGCTACCACACCCAGTTAATTTTTTTATTTTTAGTAGAGACGAAGTTTCACCATGTTGGCCAGGATGGTCTCGATCTCCTGACTTTGTGATCCGCATGCACAGGGCTTTCCCCCAACCCCCCGTGGCTTTTTATGTCCTTGAAAAAGAACTAAGACAATTGAAATGTGCCACCATGCCCAGTTAATTATTTTCTTTTCTTTTTTTTTTTTTTTTTTTTGACGGAGTCTCGCTCTGTCACCCAGGCTGGGGGCGATCTCAGCTCACTGCAAGCTCCGCCTCCCAGGTTCACACCCTTCTCCTGCCTCAGCCTCCCGAGTAGCTGGCGTGAGCCAACGTGTCCGGCATTATTTTATTTTTCTAGAGACAGGGTTTCACCATGTTGCCCAGGTTGTTTCACATTGTTTTAATCCGGGCTAGTTATGAACTCCTGGGCTCAAGCAATACACACACTTTTGTCTCCCAAAGTGCTGGGATTATAGGCTGAGTTACTACACCCAGCCTCTATATCACGACTTCTTTCATGGTGAGTAAGGTGACTGGAACGAGTGTAGCCTTTACTGCATCTCTTACATTCATAGGGTTTTTCTCCAGTATGAATTCTTTCGTGGAGGTGAAGGGAACTGGGACGACTGAAGGCTTGGTCACATCGTTTACATTCATAGGCTTTCTCTCCAGTATGGTTACAAAGGGAACTCAAAGGACTAAAGACTTTGCCACATTGTTTACATTCATAGGGTCTCTCTCCAGTATGAATGCTTCCATGACAACGAAGGGAAGTGGAATAGCCAAAGGCTTTATCACATTTGGTACATTTATAGGGTCTTTCTCCAGTGTGAGTCCTTTCACGCGTCCTAAAATAACAAGAAAATCTGAATGTTTTCCCACATTCCTTACATTCCTAGGATTTCTCTCCAGTGAGAGTTCCTTCATGTATTACACAACAACCGGAAACAGTGAAAGCTTCACCACATTCTTTACATTTACAGGGTTTGTGTCCTGTGTGAGTTCTCTGATGTCTTTCAAATGAATTGAGAAAATAAAACGCTTTCCCACATATCGTACATTTATAACTGGATTTCCACTGTGCATTATCATGTGTCTTCTAACACCTGGAACAGAAATGAAGAATTTCCCACATTGCTCACATTTATATTGCTTCTCTCCATATGGTTTGTATCCTGAGTGAGCTAGGATGTGCCTATTAAGGAGGGAATGATGTACAGACTTTTCCACAAACACTGCATTCACATTGTTTTAATCCAGTAGAAATGTTCTCATTCAGATCAAAATTTGGAATTTGCCTGACAACTTGTCCATACTGTCTACCTTTTTTGCTTTCACACAGTCTCTGTAACACAAGATTTCTGTAAAAAAAAATGACAAGCACATTATTATTGGTTGGTTTAATAACTTTCTACTTATTAATAGGTCTTGGACTTACACTGCTACCAATACCAAGGAAAATGCATTATTATTATTATTTTTTTTGGCCATGATTGAATTATTTGAAAGTAAATGGGTTACCACTGAAAACACAGCTACCACCTACATGACTATGACCGAATTAGTAACATTCATATACACAATTTTGTAGTGCTATTTTCAAGTAAACTGTTTTCCAAACACTGACTGCTACACTGAAGTACGTTACATTTGGGTGAAATTTTTCTAAAACAAAATAAATTTCAAGTGACTCTTATTTGTTTTGATTACTTGTTTTTAAGTTCATGACTTGCTAAGATTCCTTCAAAGGACTTTATTTCCTCTTCTCAGTGCAAATTATCTTACATCTTTCCCAGGTTTTTCAAAGTGATCTTCAATATTCTGGTCTTTCCATTAGTTTCCTAAAATGCAGACCACAAAATTATCACGAATTATTACAAACTATAGAAACGTTACCAGATTTATGTTCATTGTACACAGTGCCCATGTCTGATTTCTTCACCAAATCATTCCCTTGCCACATTCCAAATCACAAATAGCATTGATGATAGGGAAATACTTCTGTAATTAAGTGAAATGTGTTGTCATTCTTACCTACAGAAGCCAGGTTCCTGCAGGTTTCCTGCATCACTTCTCTCTAGAGATTCTTCTGAGAAGAATCTAAGAAAGCCCATTCCTCCTGGGTAAAGTTCACAGCCACATCCTCAAAAGCCATGGAGTCCTAGAACATTCCACACATGTGGATAGAAGGACGAGTGAGACTGACAGCACTGGGAATTTATACTCAATCCATAAGCTCTTTACATGATTCTAAAATTTTCAAGCATTTCTTCTATGATGTGATTGTCACAACTCTTACTCTGTTCATACATACTCCCTCCCACAAAGCAGTACTAATGCTGGAATTGAACTATTCAAAAAGGTAACAGCAAAGTAGAAACACCCATCTCATTAGAGAATCCAGGGAGTAAGATGTGCTGCTAGGAGTTACCTTTTAACTTCACTTTGTACATTTCTAGTATCTGTCATAATAAAGTCCTACCTGATGTGCATAAGGGAGTTAATATTATCAGTCCTGAGACTACTGATTCTTAAAAACACCTGCTCGCAAAGTTCCATCTTTGTATTAGTAACTTACATTTTGAAAGGGATTCCACCAACCCAAGTAATAAAAATGTCCCACTGCATCTAAATGGCTTATGCAATATATTTGCCACAACTTTTCCTGCTGAAGGTCTATTATTTCGTGTCACTGCAGTGGTGCTTAGGGAACCAGACACCAAAACACAGTCTGAACACTAAGTGTTCAATGAGTTTCCCTGGTAGACAATATTTTACATGTGCTGTCACTTGTTAACTGGGGAGTTGAGCCCATTCCATGTGATTACACCAAGACAGAGTAGGCTTATTAAATTTAATTGAGTAGTAAATAAAACCAATAATTGATATTTAACAACACTAATACAACAATTTTTAAAATTTCTATTGCACAATGTCATGGCAGAAAGGAATAAGAGGAAATATGACACATGGTTTTTAAAATGACATTAATGTCACCACTTCCAGATGCTAGTCCTATGAAATCACATAAATTCCCAAATCAGGTTGTTTTAGGCAAGAAAAACTACTTTTTCGTACGTAGTAAAAATGACAAATATCTAATGCTTTTTGTCACCTAAAAAAAGAGTGATGGCTTGTCTAACATACTTCTAAGATTTTCAAATGAAAATACTCAGGACAGCACAGTATTAGCAGAGAGATGAGCAAGCAGACCAAGGGGAAGAAAAGTCTTAATGACCCAGCATTTATATGGAAAGTTGATGAATGATAGACTAGGCACTGTAGAATAGAAAAAGAAATCACGTGCACTTTAAAATATGAGGCAAATCAGGCTGGCATCTGCTTGGGAAAATGCATTGCATTCTTCTCTATTCCATGAGCCGTAATCAACTTATTATATATTCAAATATGAAAGATAAAACCAGAACATTTTCAGAAGTCACAGGAAGATTTTTTTTTACGAAGGATTAGGCAGAATTTCTTTTGTGTAAGAAAACAGTGATAAAGGAACAGACAAACTCAAACATCTTAAAATTTAGGGACTAAAAAGAAAATAGAGTGGGCCAGGTGTGGTGGCTCAAGCCTGTAATCCCAGCACCTTGGGAGGCTGAGACGGGTGATCACCGGAGGTCAGGAGGCTGAGACCAGCCTGGCCAACATGACAAAACCCCGCCTTTTTGCTGTTGTTTGTTTTTTGAGATGGAGTCTTCCATTGTCGTTTGGGCTGGGGTGCAGTGGCAAGATCTTGGCTCACTGCAAACTTCACCTCCCTGGTTCAAGCATTTCTCTTGCCTCAGCCTCCCGAGTAGCTGGGATTACAGGTGCCTGCCACCAGGCTCAGCTAATTTTTTTGTATTTGTGGTAGAGACAGTTTTTCACCGTGTTGGCCAGGCAGCTCTGGAACTCCTGACCTTGTGATCCACCCAACTTGGCCTCCCAAAGTGCTGGGATTACAGGAATGAACCACCGTGCCAGGCCTAAAACCCCGTGTTTACTAAAAATACAAAAATTAGCTGGGTGTGGTCGTGGGCCTATAATCCCAGTAACTCTGATGCTGACACAGCAGAATCACTTGAACCCGGAAGGCAGAGGTTGCAGTAAGCAGAGATGGCGCCCCTGCAGTCCAGCCGGGCTACAGAGCAAGACAGTGTCTCCAAACAAACAAACAAACAAAAACACACAACAACAACAAAAAAAAACAAAAACCCCAGATATCCAGATAAGAGGATGCAGATGTGTCCACTGTCATAAATTCTTCACCATGCTACAAGAGGGGAACTGACATTTTGGTGAATCTTTGTAAATCATCAATTTATCTATCACAGTTTTATTTCACCAGTAGCATTGACAAAGCTAAGTCCTACAATTCCATTTGAAATTACCCTAAAAAGAACAGACCTTTAAAACCTACTACACTCACTCTGAGGAAGAAATAAATATGAATTTTTAGCAAATAAAATGCATCATTTTAGCTTGCCTCTTTGGAAATAGTATTTTTATCTTTCAAGCTGTAGTGACAAAATGTATCTTACAGTCAATGAAAAACTGAAACTCAAATAAGCGGACAAGCCTTTTCAAGATAACAAACTCAGGGAGAGGCAGTGCTGACCCCAACACAGACCTTTCTAAGTGTCACTGCATTCCATTCTATCCCTCGGGACACCCATCCTGTTCAGTAAAGCACTCAGTCACCACCTAGGAGGCACTGGCACTGCTCTTTGTCCTCCTGTGTGCCTTAAAAGCATCTTCATATTCAGGTTCTTGCACATCCTCTCTGGGGTGGGTTTTCCTTGTTCTTTGGGACAGTTTTTCTCTCTTCACAAGTCTGAGACAATCTAGACAGCAGAAATCATTTCTGCCTTTTCCTCTCAATATCAGTATTCCATTGGCAGACCGTCAATGTGTCTCCGAGGAATAAAAGCTCCGGCTGGAGGAACAGTTTTAATGACCTAGCTTTAATGACATTACGTTGTATTGTCCATTCATTTTAATGTCCTACAATTTTAATAACCCTAAGGGGTCACCATTTTAGATGAAACTATACCAGGAGATTCCTCTAAGGCCAAGAGCATCCGGCTGCTCCCCTGAGAGACTCTACCCCCTACCTCAGGCTGTCCTTGGGGATGAGATGATCCCGGGGCTGATACTAGACCCTCCAATAGACATGGCCACAATGCGTATCCTGGGTCATCCCTAGACAGTTCTAAAATGCCAGGACTAGGAAAAGACAGGAGGGTGGTTGAGGACACAACACCCTGTAAAGTTTTCACAGGGAGACCTCAACCTAAAGACATTTGGGTAATATGTACACTTAGGAAAGATGAAAAGAAGAGAGGCACAAAGATTTTTTTTACAGTAGAGTGTCAGATGATTTATTCTCTGCTTTCCTCTCATGTAAAATGTTTGGAAACAGAAAAATATTTTGGCCAAGGTGGCTCACGCCTGTATTCCCAGCGCTTTAGGTGGCTGAGGTGGGCGATCAGTTAAGATCAGGAGTTCAAAACCAACCTAACCAACATGGCAAAACCGTGTCTCTACTAAAAATACAAAAATTAGCTGGACGTGGTGGTGGACGCTTATAAGCCCAGCTACTTGAGAGGCTGAAGAAGGAGAATCGCTTGAACCTGGGAGTCAGAGGTTGCAGTGAGCTGAGACTG